CACACACAGTTCCCACACCTCACACAGCACATAGGCACACCACACGCACACAGTTCCCACACCTCACACAGCACATACACACACCACACACGTACACCACACACCACACACCTCACACCACACACGCACACCACACGCACCACACACGCACACCTCACCCGTACACCTCACACACCACATAGGCACACCACACGCACACAGTTCCCACACCTCACACAGCACATACGCACACCACACACGTACACCACACACATCGCATACGCACACCACACTCACACCGCACACACAGTTCCCACACAACCTCACACACCACACACCCCACACGTACACTTCACACACCACATATTGCATACCTCACATGTACACCACACCACACACGCACACCCCACACACACACACCGGCACACCACACATGCATACCTCACATACTTCACATGCATGTCGCACACATCACACACACACCCGCTTACACACCTCACGCATGCACACCTCACACATCACATACACAACTCACACATCACGTGCACACCTCACACCACACACCTTGCACTATGCACACCTCACTCTGCAGACCTCATATGCACACACACTGCACACAGCTCACACATCACATGCGCACACACCTCACAAATGCCATACATCCACACCTCATGCACACGCCACACACACGCCTTGCACATACACAAAATACACACCTCACACATTCTCACCTGACCCCCCCCCACGCTGAGTGACCACCGCCCCTTGGCCAGCACCAGTGCTGCGTGGTTGGGGGAGGGGCTGGAGTTTTGGGGGCCTCCCAGGACCTCCCCTGTCATCCGGGGAGGTTAGTGGACAACCTGGAACCCAGCAGCACGCTGCAGTCCGGTTGGCCCTCACTGCCCGCCCTGGTCAGCCTGGCTTCTGCTGGGCGTTTGACCTCTCCTGTCCATGTCGGCAGCAGCGGCAGCAGCCTGCAGGCGTCTGACCTGACGCCACTGACCTGTGCGAGGGCCTGAGTCAGTTTAGGGCGAAGTCACAGGGTCTCCCCGGCTCCTGTGCTGCGTGCGACCCCTCGCCCCCAGGAGCTGCAGTCCCGCGGGGCCAGGAGGGTGCCGGCAAGGGGCCCGGGGGCCACGCCGAGGTTGCACAGGCCCTCCCCCTCCTCTGCGTGCCAGGCGGGGGGCAGGAGCGGCCGGCTGCCCCAGAGGGGAGACGTGTGGCCGGCCACCATCCTGCCCTCCTTCCTTCGGCCTTTCCCTCAGTTCTCCCGTCCACCTAGTGAGGCAAAGGGCCCCAGACGCCTCCACGGTCGCCTCGGATTTGTGGGGACGAAGCGGTGTGGACCCGAGCTCTGGGCCCGTGTCCGGACGCTGGCTTGCTCCCACTGCCTGGCGGTCCCTGGCGCTCCTGCCCAGGCCTCCTTTTACAGGGCACCCAAGTGTGAACTGGGCTGCCTGCCTGTGGGTCCTCACCTCTGAGCTTAAGATTTAATTGTACAGCGGGCGCACACAAAAGGGTCCATAATGAGTTTATTTACAACAACAACAACAAAAAAAAAAAAAAAAGGAAAAGAAACATCCCAGGAGAGAGCGAGAGACGCAAGGTAACTAGAGCGTCCTCCCTCCCGCTGACCTGGAACCCCAACAGCACACTGAAAGCTCATCAAGAGCCAAGCGACCGGCCACCAGCCCGAGGCCAAGGGGCAGAGAGGCCTCAGCCCAACATGGCGCCTCTGTGTAATCCCTGGTGGTTGCTTAGCGCCGCCCCTGGGTGCTGCTGGGAGTCGTGGTTTCGTGACTGGAGTAGGGGTGGAGTCCACAAAACTGAGCAGCTCCTTCAGGACCTCCTTCCGCCGACACGTCGGCCCTGTGGGGCCCTCCTCTGGGCCCCGGCACCGGCCACCAGCTGACAGTGCTTATCCGCTTACTCCAGGCTCCGGGCAGCCTTGACCCCGGGCGGCCGGGGGAGGCGTCGGGGTACTTGCAGACAGGTCCTGGCCTCCACTCATGTCCACACCACTGGCCACGGAGGGGCAGCAGGTGTCCACAAGCTTGTCTGCGGTGGACTCTCCCTCCCTTAGCACTGGGACTTGCCAGCGGCGGAAGACCTGCTGCCCCCACGCCTGCCCCCAGCACCAGAGCCAGTGCCCACCTGTTGCCGCCCGCTCTGGCCTCAGACCCAGCTGCCGCCACTGGGGCCGGCCCAGCAGAGTCCCCGCAGCTGTGCGCCCTGGCGGGTCAGCACCCCTCTGCCCCTTGGTTTGTTCTGTGAAACCTCGTCGGGTTCCAGTTGGGTAAAGGAGGAATTGTGGGGGTCACGGCTGATCCTGCCTCCTCCACCCCCAGGCGGCCCGTCCGGGTCTGGCTCTTCCCGCTGGGGCCTGACCTGAGATGGCTCTGCCCTCACGCCGCAGCGGGCGAGGTGCCCGGCTCTGCAGGCCAGCGGTGCTGCGTGAGCGCCCTCCGCCCGCCCGGGGAGGCGAGGGTCTCCCCTTTCTGCTGCCACACGGGCAGGTGGGGCTGGAGCCCAGCTCAGGACCACCCCAGCGACCCGCTGGCT